GAGCGGGACGCCTGAGTTCTGCAAGCGATTGGTGAAGATTAATCAACGATTGGCAATATACCCCGAGCTAATCCGGCCCGTAGCTCAGTGGTTAGATGGTTAAGCTTCTGATCAGAAGTTGACCGGTCTGAGCCTTGTATGATGCACCCCGTGGGGTTTAGTAGGATTGGTTGATGACAGCTAATGGGCAAGGATTGACAATTACAGTCCCCGTTGTCTTTGCCGGTACAGTAATCGCCGGTTATTAAGCCCACCTCGGGCCCAGACCAAATTGGGCTTAATAAGCGGCGATAACAATAACCGGAGAGTCCTAGTTCTTGATTAACAAACGCAGGATAGGCACTTTACATTACAAACGTGCTGTATTATGTGTAGAGCTTGGTTATGTACAAGAAAAGAATACCGTTTGTCTGTATTTTACGTAATAACAAAAGCAAAAAAATGAATTGCGACACGTTTAAAGGAAACTTCACTCGCAAGTGCTCTTTGATGTCCTTCTCCAAGCACCAGAAATTTGAATTTTGTAAAACGTGATGCCTGTAGACCGCGTTGCAGAGTGTAGCGTGCAGCTCTCATCTGTGCAGCAGTGAGAACTGGCTCTTCGTCCTTACCATCATCATAAACAACTTCCTCATTTGCTTCTCCTCCATTCTTCACTTCTTCCTTCTGAATGATATCATTGACCAAGTTTTGCTCAAAATCTTCCTCGCTTGTTTCATCTGTGACTTCAATATCTGCATCGTGTTGGTGATTTGTCCTCCTGACCCCTCATGTCTGCTGCCGTCTGAACTGCGTGTCGCAAAATTTAACTTGAAAAATAAAAACAAATCGCATCCGGCATCTTGTTTTGCGTAAGACTGGCCAAAATTATGTAAACAGTCGCGCACACAGAGATATGAGAATCTCACTCTATCCTGTTGGCAAACTGGGCTTTGTAGCCGGCGACTGTATTAGCCGGCGGATTTTGCTATGTAAAATTCCGTCCCAAGCTGATTTGGGCCTAATACGCGGCTGGGCCTATTAACTGTGGGCTTAATAACCGGCGACTATTGTAATGCTATGCTTTATTAAATTCAACCCACCACAGTTAATGGGTTGTGAGGGCTCATCCACTCTTATTAATCCGACAAGACAGCGAGAGTGTGGCGCAGTGGTTAGCGTGTCAGACGTCTGGCCAACAGGTCGCGGATTCGAGCCGCATGTGTGTTCAGTTTGGTTGGCTGATGACGACTAAAAGTCCAGAAATGGCCATTACAGTCGTTTTGGTCTTTTCTAGCAGTACCTTCCCGATAACCTTATTGCACCTCCGTTTACATTAGTCTTTCTAAACGACTGTATATTTCAGAATTGATATTAACGGTGCATGGAGTGCAAAAAAGCCATTTATTTCGACTTTTATTGAGCGTATGTTGTTCTCAAGGTAAGCAGGCATTTTGTGGAAGTTTGGTGCTGCATAGACGAGTGATTCCAGCCTCGCAGATACGTGGAAGCTAACCTTGCCTACACGCCCCTGCTATGCGTTCGATTTCTGGATGGGAGAACCAAGTGCTCCTTTGCTTAGCCAGTGTCGATAAAAAAAAAGGTAAATGCGCGTGTGCGTGTCAAGGCTGACGAGCGTATCCAAAAAAACTGTTCTTATCAGGTGATAAGGCTGTACAACTTCATAATTTACTGCTTGTCAATCAGAAAGTGCGTTATTGAGTCAACTTGTCACCCTAACTTTCACACTGCCCCCTCCAGTGGAAGCCCATTTTTTGTGGATCCTTACCTGATGCAACCTTTAGACATATATTACACGAACGCTAGTCCTTCGGTGGTGTAGGTCTTGGACAGCAACGTTCTTAAATTCACGAATGAGTATGTAAACCTGTATCATACAAGATAGTGGGCGAAGAGATGGTAATTTGCACAGGATCTGCCGCTCTAACTTTTCCCCTCCCATCCGAGTCAACAAAATTGAAAGCGGTTTCAGGTTCAGTAGCTGACAACGATGAGTAGCTCGCCTAAACATACCACACAGGTTTAGTTTGCGCAGATAACGTAACAATCAAAGTTAAAAATTATGGGGGGTTCTCGATGAAAGTTTTGAAATTCTTCTGATCTTCTCTTCTTCGAAGTTCTGCTTGGCATATAATTAAGCATATAAAATTGTATCAAGTAGTACACATTTAAATACTGCCCGACCACTTTTCGAACTGAATATGAGTCACCGTAACAACGCGCTCAGTCAAATCTCGTAATTTTGCAGTCCTACCAGCAAGGTGCTTATAATTATCTGATTTCACACTTTAATTCATCCGCCCAGTATATTATCAAACGTCAATAGGCATAGACCGAAATTCCACGTATATACAGTTCTGTGAGTGCTGCAAGCAAATTTCCTAAATTTGTAAATGTTTGATTATTTGTCTCATACCGGCGGGAACGCATCTACGAAAACTTATAAATAATAATGAGCAACATTAGGCATATTAAGTACTTAA